GGCCAAGGCTCCCATTTGACAGTTGGTATGCTCGTTAGGGTTCTCTGCTCAGCAAGTGTTTTCTCCTTGAGAGCCTTGGGATCAGGCTTCATCAGATTCTTCTTGTGCAGAATTCCCAACAAGTCACTGCGAAAAGGACTGAGTTCAAGTCCATCCACTGAAGGACTTTTCATCCATCCAATATTTTCCAATGTTGTTTATTGCAAAATGCGTCTGCAGTCACACCACCTCACCTCAGAACCCTGCCCCCTTCATCCATCCATCCATTTTGTGATCCGCTTTATCCTTTCAAGGGTTGTGGGGTGTGCTGGAGCGTATCCCAGTCGTCTTCGGGCAGTAGGCGGGCTCGGCCCCGAACTGGTTGCCAACCAATCGCAGAGACGAACAACCATCCGCGTTCACACTCACACCTAGGGACAAGTTTGGAGTGTTCAATCAGCCTGCCATGCATGTTTTTGGAATGTGGGAGGAAAGTGGAGTACCCGGAGAAAACCCACGCAGAACAGGTTGACCATGCAAAATCCACACAGGAAGGCCAGAGCTGGAATCAAACCCGGTACCTCTGTCAGGATTCTCTTCACTGAAATCAGCTTAGCCTTCAACACAATCATCCCTGACATACAACAACAATTTATGATCACCCCAGACACATTTGCTTTGAGAGTGGGAAATCAAACTTGGTTACTCAACAGTTTTATCAGTATCAATGCAGTGGCATGTTATGTTCAAGGGCTGTGTTGTCTTATGGACCAAGGGAGCATTAACCATTGAGGCAGTTATAAAAACACATTTCATAAAATTTATCTCACTGAGCCGAAGTTTCTCATTGGTTCCTTCTCTAATTGTCACAATCATCTCAAAGGTTTCGTAATTCATTTCCCAGTTAAGCCGATTTAAAAGAAACTATTAATTACTTGGGCAGCCCGGTAGTCGAATGGTTAGCACGTTGACTTCACAGTGCAGAGGTACCGGGTTCAATTCCAGCTCCGGCCTTCCTGTGTGGAGTTTGCGTGTTCTGCACGTGCTTGTGTGGGTTTTCTCCGGGTACTCCGGTTTCCTCCCACATTCCAAAAACAGGCTGATTGAACACTCCAGATTGTCCCTAGGTGTGAGTGCAGAGAGTTGTTCGTTTCTGTATGCCCTGCGATTGGCTGGCAACCAGTTCAGGGTGTCTGTCCCCCGCCTACAACCCGGAGACAGCTGGGATAGGCTCCAGCAACCCCCGCGACCCTTGTGAGGACAAAGCGGTTTGGAAAATGAATGAATGAATATTAATTACTCAGGGGTGGGTTGTTCCACAGCATGAAGGTTTTTATGCAGTCTCGGGAAATAAGAAGGATCTTTCTGCTGATAAACTCAAACAGTCGGATTCCTTCAAAAGGGAGTCAAAACCTTGGTCAAAAAAGTCATCTTACTGTCAAAAAATGTGTGCGATTAAGAAAGTCGACAGGTCTGTTCTGATAAAATGAATGTTCAAATAGTCTGTGCTCTTTGCTGATACGTTTTGTGATGCATTTGAATTGCCATGCCCCAATTGATCGGCCACCAATCGTGAGTAGACATTTTTCATGGAAAAAGATCATTGATCGCCGATGAAAGCCTTCCAACGGCCAATTGATAAGTGGCCAATTGTTCTTAATCATTCTGTACCATATTTTCGCACTATCAGGTGAGCCTAAAAGCATTCAATTTTCTCAAAGACCGATAGTGAGCTTTATAATCTAATGCACCTTATATATAAGATAAGATAACCTTTATTTGTCCCACACTGGGGAAATTTGCATATATGTATCAATATTCTAATTTCTTGGACGTAGTATTTTAAATGTTCTGTAAAGCACTTTGTTACAGCTGTAGCGGTTGTGAAAGCCCTGTATAAATAAAGCTGTATTGTATTGTATTCTCTTTAGCATAGCTCCAACTAGTTGATGCATAACGCAACCTCAGCCACTGATGAAGTTTCTATTCTATGCTCCTTATAATGCAGTGTACCCGATATATGAAAACAGTTTTAAAATAGGCCATTCATTGAAGCTGCACCTTATACTCCAAAGGGCCTTATAGTGCGGAAAATACGGTACTCTCAGCCTTTGCAGCAAATGCAAACAATTAGCAATGATGACATTCTACTACAGAGAATTTTAGTTCCAGTGGTGCATTATTTATGTTTCTATATGTAATTTGTTTTCACCAGCACTGCTCAAAGGATTGCAGATGGGAATGCCGAATTGCCCTGGATGTCACTCTTTATACACAAGCTAAAGTCAAGGTTGTTATTTAAAATAAATTGTTGCATACTGTAAACATGACCATTAATAATGACACACACTCAACTGACAGGAACAAAAACACACAACCATGACAAGGAGTGTTCCTTGTAACTTCAGAAAATAAATATTTTGTGTAATGAAATTCACTTTGGGAAATGAGTGGCTGGAAACGGCACACCAGTACAGTGTACTAAGTGTTGCCGCGTTCTCTGTTCATTGTCATCACAAAAGCCCCCACCAAAATCAAGGATGCATGTTCTGTATTGATAGCACAAATTTTGGCATTGACAAAAAAGTCAGCTTCATGAAAATCGTTTGAGAATTGAGCAAGTCTGGCTTCTTTTCAATACAAATGCATTGCCTTTGCCTTCTATGGGAAGGTCGCCACCGGCAAAGAACTAGCATTAGCATAAGCTTTTTTTGCGCTTCGCTCAGTGCAGTTTGGAAATCTTTGATCATCACAAATAGTTTCAAAATGGCTGGGGGGGCAGTCACTGTTTGGACTTGCACAAGACATTCAAATTTAGTCTGCTGTAGTATACTCAATAATCAGTCTTGTATTTCTTTATTGATTTGTGTATTTACAGTGTACCAAAGCACTCTGACATGATGTCACGTCAGATTTCTTCCTCTTGTTCAAGTCATGTACGACTTTATGTGGGTGCCACTCAGTGTTCAGATCGCAAAGCCACAGTTGAAAACTTTTTTAATGGTAACTATTCTGTAATGTCACTTGAAGCATTATTCTTTATCTTTTCTTAATACAACTTTTTTTTGTACTTACACTGAATGAAATACATATGCATACAATGATTATGAATGGCAAAAGGAATATGCCACACTCTTGAACACAAATGAAATATTATTCTGATTTGCCCTGTGATGTGTAATCCAGAATTTTCATTCCATTTGGCAATTTGGATTCAGTTGAATTTGAGTACAAGTCTCCACGTAACATGATTAGTGATTGTCTTTGTGTTTAATCCATACAGGACATTTGTAAACAGCTGCTTTGACTTGGGGAAAATAAGGATCCACAGTTGCCCCTATTTTCTTTAAATATACACAAAAACAAATTACATGTTTTTTTTTTTAAATCAAAATCATCAATTAATTAAAAGAAAGAGACAGATTAATCGACTATTTAAGAAAAGGGCGGCCCGGTGATTGAGTGGTTTGCACGTCGCCCTCACAGTGCAGAGGTGCAGGGTTCGATTCCAGCTCCGGCCTCCCTGTGTGGACTTTGTATGTTCTCCCGGTGCCTGCGTGGGCTTTCTCTGGGTACTCCGGTTTCCTCCCACATTCCAAAAACATGCATGGCAGGCAGATTGAACACTCTAAATTGTCCCTGGGTGTGAGTGTCAGTGCAGATAGTTGTTTGTCTATATGAGTGTTTTTCAGTCTTTTTCGATTCAAGGCACATTTCTTTCATTGAAAAAAAATTAAGTGTTATATTGTTATTGTAAACGTTTTTTTTTTTTAACATTGAAAAATAATGCTATATTATAACACCTTGAATAGGAATCAAATCAACATCAATTCAATATTTTATAATCTTTCATATTTATTCTCACTCAGTGTGATAAACGATTTGGATGAACACAGATCTGATATCCTGGCAGCAATCGATGAAAGACACAAAAGTAGCTCTCATTATTTCTGTTTTTAGTTTTTACAGGAGTCAGGCTCTTTCTTCAGCATCTCATTTACAATGGCTTTGCGGGCAGGAAGTGTGAATTGCTCTGCCACTTTTTTGATTTAGCCACAAATTCAGCGACATGGTAACTTGCTTTCAGGGTTCTCTCGTTTACCTTTGCGGTTTTTCTCAGGCACGTTGCTTGTTTCTCCGTGTACTCACGCAGGCGGACAAAATACTCCACATTGTTGACTCGAAATGAAGGGTGTTTTGTTTGGAGATGGAGTTTAAGCTTACTTGGGACCATAGCACTGTTTCACCACATACCAAGCCCAATGGAGTGGGTGCCGTTGCATCTCCAGTAAAAGTAAATCTAAATGAAAGATACCTTTCATTGTATTGCCTCGCGCTGGAAACTTCGCTTGTCTCGAAGCATAAGGCAATTAGCTAGCTGCTGCTGCTACCTACCGATATGGAAGAGTACTCCACGATTACTCTGCCAGGCGATCGACCGCACAAGCATACATATTGGATAATTTCCCACGGCACACCTGACAATATCTCACAGGGTTTGAAAAACACTGGTCTATTGTGCCCTGCGAGTGGCTGGCAACCAGTTCAGGGTGTCCCCCGCCTACTGCCCGAAGTCAGCTGGGATGGGCTTCAGCATGCCCCGCGAACCTTGTGAGGAAAAAGCGGATCAGAAAATGGATGGATGGATAGAAATCAGTATTTGTAACTCAATAATTCAAAATTTTACAGCAAATCCATGTGATCAGTATCGGCCAATCACACTCATGGATGATTGGCATTGGTCGCTTAAAACCCCGATCAGCACACCCCAAGTTTAAAAAAAAAAAAAAAAAGAAAATATTTTGTGTTTAACTTAACTGCTGCAGTTCTTCGTAGTCATTAATTTGTTCCCTGTAGTTAAATTTCTGCCCGCAGAGGCAAACACTTAAAATTATGGAATGAGTCATAAAATGATAAAGGTTAATGGATTTGTAATTTATTTCCCTCAATTAAAATTATCCGCTCTCAGAAGTATGTTCATGCTGTAACTGAATGATATTTTTTTCTTCCGTCTTCCGTAGGTGTCCACAGAGGGAAATTGTCACACACACAGCATGGCTAAATCGGTCAAGTATACTATACGCCGGAGATGAAAAATGGTCTGTGGATCCAAGGGTGAGTCTGGTGACACTTAATCAAGACGAGTTTACCATCAAGATTGAAAACGTGGACATGACAGATGAGGGGCAGTATGTCTGTGCCGTTCAGACCAGCAGGCGACCTACAACAAATGTGGTGTATGTCCTCATTCAAGGTAACAAAAGATCTCAAGGCACCAAAAGAAATTGTGTCAATAACAATTAATTAATTTCGCAGATCCCGATATTGAGCATACACTACCTCTAAAACCATTGAACTATGGTTCCTCGAGAGCCATATCCTGCCTCTTTTAGATCCTTCTCGACTGCAACACACCTGATTCACACCGTTCACGATATTGCTCTGCCCAAAAACATCTTCATTTTGTTCACATGACCGTGGATTGACGAGGTTATGAATCTTTTTGCCCTGCGCTGTTTACTCTCTCTCTCTCTCTGTCGCTCTCTCTCTCTCTCTCTCTCTCTCTCTCTCTCTCACACACACACACAACTGCTCACTGTATAATATTGCATCTGTATTATTATTGATAACAGCAGCTGTCCATCTTATTTCAATTAAGTAGTATCTGCTCACAGACGCACAGACACAGGCACACAGGCACAGAGACACAGCAGGCATGTCTGACTTCATGAAATAATTTACTGTATTTTCCGCACGATAAGGCACACCTAAAAGCATTCACATTTTCACAAAAGCTGACAGCGCACCTTATAATCCGATGCACCTTATATATGGATCAATCTTCTGATCAATCTTCGGGCTTTCTCATGACAAGTGTTGAAAATGCCTCGGCGGTGGCGCTGCCATTCAAGCAACGGCACTAAATACACAGAACTAACTACATCAGCCCATCATCAAGCCCGTTACTTGATTGACATACAGGGCAACCAATCAGATGACAACTGAATCACCGCTCGTGCACAAACAACGGTGCTCAGTGCTAAGCGCTAAGCTAGTCAGCTTTAAAGGTAGGGGTGACCAACACGTCAAGCGCGATTGACCCGGAGCCAGTGGACTGGTCCCAAGTGGAGCGCGAGCGAATGGGAGGAGGAAATGAGGGTGGGGGGACGGGGGGGGGGTGGACTTTCTGTGTATGAAGTTCCAGCTGTTGCTCATCTCGGTGTGCGTGCGTGCGTGTGTGTGTGTGTATATGCGTACACATGCGCGATCGGGTCGATGACGGGAGGTTTGTCGCTTCAAAAGTCGATCTTCGGTCAAATATGTAGCAAGCTGACCCAAGTAGTAAGTAACCACTGCAGCTCGTGTGTGTGTGTGTGTGTATGTGTGTGTGTGTGTGTGTGTGTGAGTGTGTGTGTGTGTGTGTGTGTGTGAGTGTGTGTGAGTGTGTGTGTGTGTGTGTGTGTGTGCGCGTGTGTGCGATGTGGCTGTTTGCATAAACACAGAAAAAAAATTGGCTCTTACTCTCTGACTGGTTGGCCACCCCTGCTCTATATCAATAAAACTGTATTGTATTCCCTTTAGCCTAGCGCCATCTAGCAGCCATCTCATTACCTCTGCGTCCCGCGTCCTAGACGCATAATTTTCCCGCGGAACGCACAGTTCCAAATAATGTCCGTTTTTGGGACGCAAGGAAACTTCTCAGTCAAAACAAACAAAAAAAAAAACTACGGCAGGCCTGAGGATTTCACGGTAACGATCGTTACCGGTAGCATGTCGTTTCCGTGGTGTCATTTTGACAGTACCGAAAAATCGTTTCCCATAAAAGTCACCGCACACGAGTTGACTGTACGCGATCGAATCTCTCCTGTGTGATCAACGCGATTTCACTGTGCCTGTATGTGTGTTTGTAGTGTGGTGTGTGTGTGTTCCTTCTAATTTACTTTCGTTTTGTTTTGTTTTCAGTGCTGGGGCGGGGGTGCAACAGATAACGTTATGTGCGCATGCGGGTTGCGATTTTAGTCCGCAAACTGAGAAATTACGCGGATGACAGTTTGAGATGGTGGCGAAAAAAACACACAAAGGTCTACTAATTACGACATTTAAGAAATGGGAATGCCAGTCTGATTTTTCGTATGAATCGTCCGAAGGGCGTATCACTAAACTCACCTGTGACGTATGCACAGAACACGAGAGCGAGATACGACGGGAGGCACGATTCCGAGGCAAGTTGGTCATTAGATCTATAGGCTAATCGCTATGAAAAATATTATGAAACAGTCTTGGTTACTCTATAATTTACTGGTTGTAGCATGGTAACTTTATGAATAAAACATTCGTCACAAGGTGTCGTAATGCTAAAGTTAACTGTCGGTAGAACTAACGATGACGTGTGTTAGATTCTTTCATCAAATTGATAGTAGATTACACATGCATCATCTTGGGAAGAGAATGTCAAGCCACATCAATACTTAACCCGTATTAATGATTAATCTTTGCAGTGTGAGATTGGAAAAAATACTGATGTAATGTTCAATGTTAATGCATAGTTTTCAAACATTTACCCTTGAAACATTATACTTTTGAGTTTCAGAATTCTTGATTATGAATATCAGTCAAAATAGAAAAATGGGTTCCCATGATGAACGTTTACGGAACCAAAAATTAGTTACCGTGGTTTCCCATTGGGTAATCCGACTGAATTGAAAAACGGTTACCATGAATTTCCGAAATGCTCAGGCCTGCTACAGTACATCTTTTTTTCCCGCAATGATCGCAGTCATTGTTGTTTAGATCTCGCGTTAAGTAATCTTGCATGACCAGATTTCCGTTCTCGCAAGACGAGATTGGCGAGATCGGCCTTCACCTCGCGGAAAGCAGACGATTGCCAAGTTGTGAAACGTTAAAACAAGTATTGCGAACAAGTGTTGCGAAAGTTTATTACGGAGATATCACAGAGGAAGCAGCTGACGTTGGATAGTTTTTTTGCGATAATAAATTGACTTTGACAAAGCCTTGTCTCATTGGAAGCAGAGTAAAGAGAGGAGAATTTATGAACTCAAAGACTGAACCATGGGATGAAATAAGAACCTATTTCTCACCAAATCTTCTATGCCTGAATTATTTAAATTCTTGCAGCATTTGTTTATAAGAAAAAAAAACTATTATCAATGTATATTGTTGTTGTTTGTGTTGTTATCATATGCAATTGAATAAGTAGACCATTTCAGAATTCGAAATTTGGGACTCTCTAAATGCATAATGGGACTCATACTTTTCTGATCAGCGAGTCCCTGGGACTCGCTGGGGTTAAACTGTAAAATTATCACTGATCTAGTGGATGCATAACGCAACTGCAGCCACTACTGTAGCTTCTATTCTATGCTCCTTATAATGCGGTGCGTCCTATATATGAAAACAGTTTTAAAAGAGGCCATTCATTGAAGGTGCGCCTTATACTCCGAAGCGCCTTATAGTGCAGAAAATACGGTAATATTAATTTAAGGCATTTAAGGTGCCACCGTTGTTGACTGGTTAACACATCCGCCTCACAGTGCAGAGGAGCAGGGTTTAATTTCAGGCTCTGGCTTTACTGTGTGGAGTTTGCATGATCTCTCTGTGCCTGCGTGGGTTTTTTCCGGGTACTCCAGTTTCTTTCCATATGCACTGTTAGATCAATTGAACAGTCGAAATTGTCCCTAGGTGTGATTGTGAGCGTGAATTGTCGTTTGTCTATGTGTGCCTTATGATTGGCTGGCAAACAGTTCAGGGTGTACCCTGTCTTCTGCCCAAAGATGGCTGGGATAGGCTCCAGCACACCTGTGACCCTCGAAAGGATAAGTGGATTAGAAAATGGGTGGATGGATGGAAAATCATTTCATTTTGGCATCCTATCTTATGAAGACTAGTCTCCAGTTAAGTGAGTCGCTCTTGTTTGGCTCATAGATCCTTGTTTGTAAGTATCTTTGCTATTTTAGTATGGTTCTTTTTTTTTGTGTTACTTGAATTTTTTATATGTTGTTTGAGTATTCTCAGCGTTCTTTTGAACCTTGCCTTTGTAAGGACTTTTGGTTTCATGCATTGTTTTTCCTAGCATCTTGTGACCAGCGATGTCAGCTCATCCTTTGTCAGTGCGATGTTTTTCAAAAATTACTCTTGTCATAGCACTTTGTCTGAGCCTGTATCTGCCTCTTTGGAATCCCGAAACATTATTCAGTTCGGTCAGAACCCAACAACACCCACCACCCCCTTCTTCTGCTTCCCTTTCACACCAGAGCACCCCCTCTGCATTGCCTCTGTGTGGGTTCACTTTGCGCTGATCGTTAATCGGTGTGAACGTCGCATTAAGGGCTGCGAACATGGGGGATGGAAAATATGTGACTTAAATCTCAATATTGTCAAGATTGTTCATCTTGTCAGTGAAATCCAGGAGGGATTCGTTCACAGGCAATGGCTTTTGGGAGTGATTTGGAGAGCTTTATGGTGATGTTGATGATTCCATCTGTGTGGTCAAAGTCTGACATAAAGCCAGGCTTTTGGGTGAAGCATGAGGATCACTTTGTGATTTTTTTTTTTCATTTGCACTGATAACAGAGTGACGTGTTATCCGGTCTTGTGGATATCCTTGTCTGTTGTTTGGTAAGAGCGGCGCCAAGAGAAATTTCCACACTGAGTCAGAGACGAATTTTTCCATCCACCCATCCATCCATTTTCTGATCCGTTTCATCCTCACAAGGGTCGCGGGCGGTGCTGGAGCCGATCCCAGCCATCTTCGGGCAGTAGGCGATGGACACACTGAACCGGTTGCCAGCCAATCACAGGGCACACAGAGAACAACCAGCCACACTCTCACCGACACCAAGGGACAATTCAGAATATTCATCAGCCTGCCATGCATGTTTTTGGAATGTGGGAGGAAACCGGAGTACCCGGAGAAAACTCACTCAGGCCCGGGGAGAACATGCAAACTCCACACAGGAAGGCCGGAGCTGGAATTGAACCCGGTACCTCTGCACTGTGAGGTCGACGCGCTAACCACTGGACCACTGGGCCGCCCGAGAAGAATTTTTTGTCGTTGAAAAACCACCACTACAGTGCACAGTTCAAATCTTATATTTGCTAGTTTACACATTTCAACCCATAAAATGCTTCATTAAACTTCACTACTTTTTTTCTCACAGTACCACCAAAAATCATCAATCTCGAGAGAGATATTGTGGTTAATGAAGGTTCCAACGTCTCTGTGCTGTGCCAGGCCCAGGGTAAACCAGAGCCTTCTATTAGCTGGAAACTCATCACATCTTCAGGTAAATGGCACAGATTTGATGGTTCAATGCTGTTACCATGTCCCCCATTCCCCTGCCGCTTCCTCACTTCTGATGTGCATTCCCGTCACCTTCCTTTTGAGCAACTGCTTTCCCACTTGCCCTTCTGCTGATAACTCACTTTTTGACCTTCTTTGGTATTAGCAGTTCATTGGTGTCCATTACCTTCTTCCGGATTATTATTACAACATAATTGTGTGTCAGAAAATTAACCAGCCCTATCCTAATTGGCCTAATTATATTTGCATAATTGGGTGGAAGTAAATAGCTAGAATGCAGAGAGTGCTCCATTATATGGCGCATAATCTGTCTGGAGGAAGGAGTATGGTTTTCAGCGAGAAAAAGCGAAGAAAGGCACGTTAAAAACATTGTCAAATTAATTCAGAGATTTGTCTTTAAATACATGGAAAATAAAACTGCAGTACCAAATTGTGGAGATTTGGCATTAAACTGTGTTTTATTATTTCAATTTTCTGTTGTTGTTTTTTGGAATGGATAAAATGATGCACATGGATGTCTGACATGAGGTGCCAAAATGAACTCTGTCCCCTTATTATACCATTAACCCAATCAAGGTCAGGTTTGTGCTTTTCAAGCTAAGTGTAACCCAAAATGCTTGTGGAGGCTCTCAGTCGTACAGGAAAGTTCCATCGTAGAAAGGGTTCTGTCAGTCGTCATCTGTACCTGTGGGTAAAAAACAAAAAAAAAACAAAAAAAACAAAAAAAAAAAGCAAAAAAGGACGTTTCGCTTCTCTCACAGAAGCTTCGTCAGCGGTAGACAACCCTGAAGTCTCCGTGAAGACTCCGGGAAGTTGCTCTGCGCTAAAAAGCTGAGCGTGGCCTGTTTGAGGACTGGGTGGGGATGGTTAGTCACGCCCCTATTGGTTTATTAGAGGCCCATTGGTTTCTAAATTCCCTATCATTGGGTCTTGATTAGGCCTATTGTTTGGGCTAAGGCTGAATAGCTACTTTCAGTTAGCCTGATCAGCATGTCTATGTCCCTTACTGGTCAACAAGTTATTGTAAATAGGAGACAGGTTAAATCTGATACCTCCTTCACGGTTCAGAGAGGGTGAAAATTTTTTAACAAAAATCGCTTCTTTTACCCCCCTTTCAAACCATCTCTTTTCTGTTCCTAGGATTTTTACTTGTTCATCTTCAATTGTGTGGTTTGTTTCTTAAAAGAAATCCATTGTGTTCAATTGTGTGGTTTGTTTCTTAAAAGAAATCCATCCTCACTTCTGATGTGCATTCCCGTCACCTTCCTTTTGAGCAACTGCTTTCCCACTTGCCCTTCTGCTGATAACTCACTTTTTGACCTTCTTTGGTATTAGCAGTTCATTGGTGTCCATTACCTTCTTCCGGATTATTATTACAACATAATTGTGTGTCAGAAAATTAACCAGCCCTATCCTAATTGGCCTAATTATATTTGCATAATTGGGTGGAAGTAAATAGCTAGAATGCAGAGAGTGCTCCATTATATGGCGCATAATCTGTCTGGAGGAAGGAGTATGGTTTTCAGCGAGAAAAAGCGAAGAAAGGCACGTTAAAAACATTGTCAAATTAATTCAGAGATTTGTCTTTAAATACATGGAAAATAAAACTGCAGTACCAAATTGTGGAGATTTGGCATTAAACTGTGTTTTATTATTTCAATTTTCTGTTGTTGTTTTTTGGAATGGATAAAATGATGCACATGGATGTCTGACATGAGGTGCCAAAATGAACTCTGTCCCCTTATTATACCATTAACCCAATCAAGGTCAGGTTTGTGCTTTTCAAGCTAAGTGTAACCCAAAATAAAAGGCTGCTCGGAGACCGGACAACTAATCTGAATAAGTTCCTGGCGATTGGTTTTTAATGCGATAAAGCAAATAGTTGAGTACTCGTACCGGTTCTAAGGGTTCTGAAGGTTCAGATGGAATGAAAATTTGATGAGCAAGTCCCACATCAAATCGTTGTGCAATTGCACCTGAGTCAGGAAGTCAAGAAGAGTTTTACCTGAAATGGAGATCTGGACGTTAAAGGTTCCAATTGCAAACGGCTCCGCAGCACCCTCCTGCTCTGTCTCTATAAAGTCCTTTTTCTGATCACATGCCCACACGTCACAATGCAAACAGAGATTATCTTGAAAACGTCACTGCCGATCTTCTGTATAGAGGCCTGTGCTGGTTCTTGAGATGGAGAAGCATTTTCAATCTCCGTTAACTTAATCAATGGTCAATGCGTGTTATGAGCACGATCAGGTCTTTGAAACCCAGTGGAATGTCTTAAGCAGCCAACTCATCTTGAAAGCTGGTGGTTGAGCCACTGTAAAACATTAACTTCAGGATCGTTCAGTTCAAGCACTGGCAGACGCAAGTGCGCGGAAGTCACTGGTATGAATACCTACAGATCTGTTACCATGGTTAATTGTGTTTAAAACCATGAGATGCTTCTGAGTCAAATGAGATGGGGTCAGAAAAGGACCGGAAGGATTTAGAGGTCACAGAAGTCCGCTCCCACTCCACAGTTCACAAAGAGGACCTATGCCAGAAGACAATGAAATGACAAAAGGCCACACGAGCGCTATGCTGCAAAAAATGAGGGTTGCAGTTCAAAATAGAAAGTATTGCGTCAGAAATGCCCGACATTGACCTAGCTCCTCTGAATAATGTTCGAGCGAAGCAATGCGAGCCTCGATCTGAGTATTTCGTGCAACAGGCGCAGCTCATTTGGTGGGGAATAAGACCAAACAGATGCCCGTTGCATCAGTTGACTTATTTGATGAGACATCTCACGCATGCCAATAGCCAGCTCCTTGTAATAGGATTTATGCTGGGTGACTGAGCCAACGATTGATCCTAGCCAAGAAACACCGGCCAGCTTGTTCTGTCGGAAACTATTATGAACCCAAATGCACAACAAAGGTCACTCCAGAGATGTTCAAACAACTTTTATTGGACACAAATTGAAGAGAGGAATCCCTGACAGAGAGTGGATTCGGTACAACATGCTCCCGAAGACAGATACACTTTCCAAATTCAACAATGAGGCAAGAAGGACTTAACAGGCATTGGCGGGAGCTGCAGAGTACTGCAAAATGCAAGTGACAATCTGGCACTGTGGAGAACTTTCTGGTAGAGCTGCTTACACAGAGCAGGAAACAGGTGAGATCAATGGAGCTACTGAGGTATAGTCAAGCTGTGGTACAACAAATCGGTCACAGGAACTAGCTCTTCAAAATAAAGGTGTGGGCAGGAAATGAGCTGATGATGATAAATACACTTTTATGGCGAGACGACGGGGTCTCTTCCATTTTTTAAATTTTAAATTTTTTTTATGATCGATGGAACAGACAAATATACAGTAAATATTCTCTAGTGCGGACTCGTGTTTGCGCTGTCCAATTTGTCCTAATAACAGAAATTTCTCATTTGGGAAATGAGCATGGTACATGTCCTTTATGAACCTGCAAGTATGTTGACAAAAATGCACGTGTAACAACACAATCAATAAAATACAAAAATATACTGTCAAAAAACTTTATATAACAAAAACTGCAATACAGGTGTATCCAAAAAAAATCACAACAGTAAAATACGTACAGTATTTTAATGTTTATTTTTTTTTCTGTCTTGGGAAAAAAAGTGTGTCTATTTTGGATTGTTTGGTTGGATGCATTCTTTGGTTTATGACAATGTTTGCCTGCGTGTCATACAGTTTTGTTGCTAGTTGCAAGTAACTGTCCCGTTGATCACCGATGTCTGGTAATTCTTGTGCATACTGATGGATTTGTTGCCATTTGCATTGCTTCCTCGCTGGATGGTGGCTTGTCATCAGGAGTTGAATCGATGCCTTGTTTTTTAAAGTTTCGTAGATTTGCGTCTTTCCGACTCCAAGTGTCTGCTGGATGCTTTTAACTTTGTGTCCAGCCTTGCTCAAACGGATGCATTTCACTCGCTCCGCTCCAGTCATTACAGTTCTTCTACGTTTCGATGCCATGATCTACACGACGTAAGTGAATAAAGTTAAAATCTTTCGCAATTGCAGTCAAACGCACACCAATAAAAAGTCACTTACACGTCTTCGTTTCGAATCTGATGAATGTAAACGGCGAAGCGAACAGTCTGTTCGGTCGTGTCGAGTGGGTGCTGCTTTTAAGCTAGTGCCGCGTTCTACAGGACGTTAAGTGAATAAAGTCAAAATCATTCACAATTACAGTAAAACGCACGCCAATAAAAACTCACTTACACGTCGTCGTTTCGAATCTGATGATCGAAAAACGCGAAGTGAAAATGTGTCTCGGTGTCGTCGTTCCGTAGCATCGGGTGGGCGTTGCGTGTATTTAAGCTCCCGCGGCATGACGTCTCAATCCGGGTTATGGGTAGTGGAATTTCCGCTTACGTAAGTTCCGGTAACATGTAATATCGTAGTCAAAATGTTAATGCACAGGCTTTTGTTCCGGGTGAAGGATATTCCTTTTCATAGAATTCCGGGGATGGGAATATTTACTGTATCTGTGATTTTAGCACTACCTTCAGTTTGCGCGGACTGGACGCTTAAGGGTCCCAACACTGCATGTGCCAGAGCAGCGAACACAAACAACAGACACCTGCTTCGAAAAGCGCTTAAATGGATTTGTTTTGGAGAGAACTTTTTTTTAATGCTGGGACAAAAGAGACACACATGAGGATTCAGTTAAAGGCAAGATGATTTTCATGTTTTTATTTTAACGACCTGATAGAAATGTTCTTTTGAGTGAACGTCCTATAACTAAAAGATTACCTAATTGCTGTTGGCAAGGTGTCGTCCAACGCTTTTATTGCAGCTGTTCCTTCCCTAGAGGATATGAAAGGGCACAGACCCTAAAATTGGAGCAAGAGCTGTTTTCTTGTCACACTTATGAACAATTGTCCCTTCTCTCACACTCCTGGTGCGTAGGGGATCTGGCAACAGACGATGAGTACCTGGAAATTCCATCTATCACCAGAAACAGAGCAGGAACTTACGAATGCACAGCTGTCAACGACATCGACGCAGATACCCAAACTATCGACATCACCGTCAACTGTGAGTCCTCTGTTCAATTCAGTCAAATACTGATTCATGTCTCTGAAATACAGGTTTTTGCTGCAATTTGTGAAATGCTATTGCCATCTGCTGTTTGATTTGGGATCGCACTTAAGAACTCTTAAACATAACATTTTAGCAGAAGTGAGAGTAAATCATTGGTGTAAACCAGGGTCCCCAACCCCCGGGCCGCGGACCAGTACCGGTCTGAGGGTCATTTGGTACCGGGCCGCACAGAAAGAATGCATAACGCCTACACTAAGTCACTCTTGACGCAGATGAAGGAGCGCTTCTCAGTCACGTGATAGGTTACCGCTATAATATAATCCAGTCGCTAGCAAAATGAGTGAAAAACAAAGGTCTTTGGAAAGTTTCTTTGGGAAGGGGGAAAGGCCCAGCCTGGAGGAGGAGCCTACGACTTTCAAGAAAAAGAAGGCGACATTTCATAGACAGTGTCAGGAGTCCTACTTAAAATACGGATTGATCACAACGGGAGATTCCCACGCACCAATCCCAGTCTGCATAATATGCGGCGATGGTGAGTCGTATTTTTCATGCACTTTGTATTTGCGGTGTATCTTACTTTGAAGCCACGTGTAAACATTACCATAGCGACCAGAGAGTGTTGCGGCCAGATAGGACTTTCCTCGTGTCATGATTCGTGTTTATTATTATGTTTCGAAAATACCACAGTTTTCATGCCGGTCATATCATATTTTGTTGGATTTATCCGGCCTTTAAAGGCCGGTCCCTGAAAACATTGTCTGACATTAAACCAGTCCGTGAGGCAAAAAAGGTTGGGGACCCCTGGTCTAAACCTTCCACTTTCCAGTCAACTTTTACTGTGGAAAAATAAAATCAAGTAAGTCACCACGAAATTCCTATCAATTTGAGTGACATAATCACTTCAATGAAGCAAGTCACAAGTCAATTAATTCAACATTTCTGTCTCACCTTTTTTTTTTTCACTTATCATAATGATAAAAAGACAATTTACACTTGATGAAATTGAAATTAATCGAGAATTGGAAATGAAATACTTTCATTTAGTGTACTGTTTTTCAGATAGAGGCGGGGAGAGAATCTCAAGTTATGAATGCTCCTTTTTACGTACAATTTGTCTTACGCACATTTACAATTTTTGTTAAAGTGAACTATTTCCATACTAATTTCGATATACGAACAGCCGTGGCATGGATGAGTGAATTGATTTATGAACCAAACACACGCTTTGCAACATTTTCATTCAAAAAAAGTCGAAAAACAGAACTGCATGTTGAGTTGTCCGTTTTTTTAAATTTCTCTTGTGCATTATTTTGTTTTTGACTTCTGTGTTTATTGGATCGCATTTTGAAAGTAATGATGGTCGAAGGGTATTGCATTGTGATGTTTTTGTTACCAAAAGGCCCAAGGTCACCAAAGGTATTGTTGCATAAAACACCGTCAATTAATGGCTTAATGCTGCTTAATGGCCTTCTCCATTTCCTTGACCTCTAACGCCACGTGAAGGATTTTCATCTTGAGCTCATGTTCTTTTGAATATTGTAGTTGACGCTCACTGTTGTCGCACCATCTGAAATGGAGTTGCTGGCTGCTGCTAGCACAGATGCAGAGGGCTGATTTTCTTTTCTGTGTCTGGATTCCTTAGACACCTGATGCAAATTTAGATAATCTTTTTTCCAGAAAATATCCTGTTATAAAACTGAAGATTTCAATAGAAGAGGCTATGTCAGTATTTTTTTTTAAATCTGTGCAATTGAGATCACCTGCTCAGGAAAATTATGCACACTATCACAAATTTGGAATATGTTTCCCCACCTGAATTTTACAGATGATCATCATCTGGGGAACCTGCCAAGGACTGATGGCTTTCAATTATTCCTGTCATTGATATCTAGCCTAACGGGGAGTCCCCCACCTGTCTTGGAGCATTTTGTCTGAGCAGTTGCACACGCAAACACACAGCTAGGGACAGTTTAGAGTTTTCTATTAACCTCTCATGCATGTTTTTAGAGTGTGGGTGGAATCTGGATCACCCGGAGAAAACTCATGCAGGCACAGGGAGAACATACAAACTCCACACCAGAAGGCTGTACCTAGAATCAAACCTTGCACCCTGCACTGTGTGGCCAACATGCTAACAGGTCGCTCACCATACCACCAAACTTTGTCGTAATCGCTTTAAAATACTAACAGCGTGATCAAATCAATTTGTCAGTTTCTTTCATCTTAGTCAGCTGGCTAAAGTAAAACCTCTCCTTTCTCATGAGCACTTTGAAACAGTAATTCATGCCTTCGTCATATCCCGGCTGGATTAGTTTAATGCACTTTACTTTGGAGTCAGCCAGTCCTCCATTAAGCGTCTCCAGTTGGTCCAGAATGCTGCTGCTTGCCTCTTGACTTGTACTCGTAAGAGGGAACACATAACTCCTACTCTGGCATCCCTTCACTGGCTCCCTATACATTTTAGAGTTTTTTTTTAAGATCCTATTATTTGTTTTCAAATCTTTAAATGGCCTCGCTCCACCTTACCCCTCTGAGCTCCTCCGCCCCTACACACTTGCCCTGTGCCTCAGGTCTGCGGACCAGACATTATTAGAGGTACCATGAACTAAGCGGAGGCTCAGGGGGCATTAAGCCTTTTCCGTTGCTGGTCTCTCTCTTTGGAATGACCTCCCACTGAACATTCGGCAAACCCCCTAGCTGCCCATCTTTAAAACTAATTTTTGTTCTTTGGCTTTTGACTCAGCATGACTCAGACTTGATCTTAGTTTTACTGTCTTTGTGCTTTCTACTGTCTTTGTTATTTATTTATTGTTTATTGTTGTATATATGATATTTGCTTCATATACAAGTGCTCTAAACATACAGTTCAGTTGAGTTGCTTAAAATCATACTCTGAAGCACACAATTCTTTGAACCTCCTTTACATATCTTCGTTGTCATGTGTTGACCATTGCTCCCGTGTGTTGTTATAGATGCTCCAACTGTGTCTGATGGAAGAGATATTGGTGTGAAACTGGGACAAAGAGGAGTGTTGGAGTGTGAGGCTGATGCAGTGCCTGAACCTGACTTTGAGTGGTACAAAGATGATAGAAGGTATCGATTTATTTATTTTCGTTTCAAAAGGGGCAAACAGAAGGTTTTATGTGTTTTCATCATTAAACATAAATATTGACCCATTCATTTATTTTGTCATCAGATTCATCAATGGCTTGGACGGCATGGAGATAGTGAATACTGGATCGCTGTCCAAACTGACATTTTTTAACGTGTCCGATAGTGACTATGGTAACTACACTTGTGTTGCCATCAACAAACTTGGGAGTTCTAATACAAGCTTTATAATTTATGGTAAGTACATGAACCTTGCATGAACACTCCTCAAAAATCATTGGAACACTTGAGCAAAAATGCTTTTAATTTGACAGACGTTTTGAGAGCTGGAATGAAAGAACCAAAAATAACGCTCTCAGTAAAACCTCTCCTTTCTCATGAGCACTTTGAAACAGTAATTCATGCCTTCGTCATATCCCGGCTGGATTAGTTTAATGCACTTTACTTTGGAGTCAGCCAGTCCTCCATTAAGCGTCTCCAGTTGGTCCAGAATGCTGCTGCTTGCCTCTTGACTTGTACTCGTAAGAGGGAACACATAACTCCTACTCTGGCATCCCTTCACTGGCTCCCTATACATTTTAGAGTTTTTTTTTAAGATCCTATTATTTGTTTTCAAATCTTTAAATGGCCTCGCTCCACCTTACCCCTCTGAGCTCCTCCGCCCCTACACACTTGCCCTGTGCCTCAGGTCTGCGGACCAGACATTATTAGAGGTACCATGAACTAAGCGGAGGCTCAGGGGGCATTAAGCCTTTTCCGTTGCTGGTCTCTCTCTTTGGAATGACCTCCCACTGAACATTCGGCAAACCCCCTAGCTGCCCATCTTTAAAACTAATTTTTGTTCTTTGGCTTTTGACTCAGCATGACTCAGACTTGATCTTAGTTTTACTGTCTTTGTGCTTTCTACTGTCTTTGTTATTTATTTATTGTTTATTGTTGTATATATGATATTTGCTTCATATACAAGTGCTCTAAACATACAGTTCAGTTGAGTTGCTTAAAATCATACTCTGAAGCACACAATTCTTTGAACCTCCTTTACATATCTTCGTTGTCATGTGTTGACCATTGCTCCCGTGTGTTGTTATAGATGCTCCAACTGTGTCTGATGGAAGAGATATTGGTGTGAAACTGGGACAAAGAGGAGTGTTGGAGTGTGAGGCTGATGCAGTGCCTGAACCTGACTTTGAGTGGTACAAAGATGATAGAAGGTATCGATTTATTTATTTTCGTTTCAAAAGGGGCAAACAGAAGGTTTTATGTGTTTTCATCATTAAACATAAATATTGACCCATTCATTTATTTTGTCATCAGATTCATCAATGGCTTGGACGGCATGGAGATAGTGAATACTGGATCGCTGTCCAAACTGACATTTTTTAACGTGTCCGATAGTGACTATGGTAACTACACTTGTGTTGCCATCAACAAACTTGGGAGTTCTAATACAAGCTTTATAATTTATGGTAAGTACATGAACCTTGCATGAACACTCCTCAAAAATCATTGGAACACTTGAGCAAAAATGCTTTTAATTTGACAGACGTTTTGAGAGCTGGAATGAAAGAACCAAAAATAACGCTCTCCAGGGGGCAGGAGTGAAGGGCATGAAAATGAACAAAATAGCAGCTGCCACATGAGACAGTTCAAACAAAAAGAAAAAGAAAACAACATTGAATTTGTCAAAAGAGACGGGCCTAAAAAAATGCTGGGATAAACATCTACGGAGTCTAAAATTTAGGGAACAAAGGATCTTGGTCATGATCCCTGACCCCTGACTCTGATTTCAAATTCGAAATAGATGCCTGATGGACACCTGTAGAAGCACAAAATGTCATAACATAATGTGATAACCTAATCGATTTGTCCCATAGCGTGATAACTGACCTAAAATATAATCATTCGTCTTGAACCGGGTGCCTCGGTGGTCGACTGGTTAGCTTACCGGTCTCACAGTGCAGAGGTGCAGGGTTCGATTCCGGCTCCGGCGGTCCTGTGTGGAGTTTGCATGTTCCTCCCCATGTCTGCGTGGGTTTTCTCCAGGTACTCCGGTTTCCTTCCACATTCCAAAAACATACATGGCAGGCTGATTGAACATTCCAAATCATCCCTAGGTGTGAGTGTGAGTGTGGATGGTTGTTCGAATGTGTTCAGTTTAGGGTCCCTACTGCCCGAAGACAGCTGGGATAAGCTCCAGCACGCAGCCACGACCCTTGTGAGGATCACCACAAATGGATGGATACATAGTTTTGAACCTACGTTGTAAAATCTTTTGGGCACTCACATAATACTTGATTCCATTATAGTATGGCTATTACATTATTGACCTAGTCAAGAAATATACATATATATATAAGGTATGTACAAATGTAATAATTTAGCCCATAATGTAATAATTTACCATCACTTTATTCAATTTTTTGATCTAACTCTGAAAATGCGTACTTTCTCCATCTGTCTGCCTCTCTCGCTCTCTGTCTCGCCATGTATTTGTCCATTTATCTTGATGGTTAGTTAGCCTGATATTCAGTCCTGTCTGCTGCTCCTTTGCCTTTCGGGTTGTATTGAAAAATGTAGCACATTTCTAAACATAGACCACAGTACGGAACATTTATTACATGTATGGCATGTAACTCACTCTTGATAATATATGCCAATTTTTTTTTTTGGACTAACTTCTCATAACATGGATAATCATGTCATAACTGTTCTCTTTAAACAAAATCAAGCAAATATGGACAGTATATGATTTTGTCTCATCTTGTAAGTGGGTCTGCTGTTGAATGCAATCGTGCAGTCATCTTTGTGATGCTTGGTGGCACTGGGATGAGCACAGTCTATACCATTAAATAGTTTGTTCTTTTCTTCATCATCTTTTTTTTTTTCATTTTGCGTGGACCAATATATAAATTTCTTTCATTTGTAATGTAGATGTGTTTGCAACAAGCCTGCTAGTCTGGGACCCCATTAGAGGGCTCTCGAATGCCCAACATCTCAATGGTATGAATTTTTAGAGTTGTGTCATTGATATAAACCAATGTCAACCATTGTCGGAAATGGAAACCCACCAGCAATCACCGCTCGACACAGAACAAACCGAGGACGTAGGGTCGGACATCGAGAATCGAGTGCAACCGGGAGTAACAGTTTGGTTGTCCTGTAATTGTTCAGCTTTGTAAATTCATTCATTCATTCATCTTCCGAACCGCTTGATCCTCACTAGGGTCGCGGGGGGTGCTGGATGTCGGTGTTAAATTTCAATGCCGAGCAGCGCAGAAGAATCACCAATAGGAATTGTGTGTGTCTGTAGCAGCATCATACCTGCCACCAGAGCCGCGATGTCGGAGTTTGGCAGCTCCAGCAGGGGCCCGATTGGTGGTATTGCTCACCTGTGGGGCCATTCCCACTGCCAGCTCACCACCGAAAGCTGCCGAACAGAAACGGAGAACGACATATCGTGTGCGCATGGCATGCAACAACATCCATCCATCCATGATCTTAACCGCTAATCCTCACGAGGGTCGCAGGCTGGAGCCTATCCACCCTGAACTGGTTGCCAGCCAAATGGCACACTTAGACAAACAACCATCTGCACTCATACTCACACCTCGGGACAATTCGGAGTGTTCCGTGGAAGGAAACCAAAGTACCCAAAGAAAGTCCACACAAGCATGGGGAGAACATGCAGACGAACCCTTGACCGCTATACTGTGAGGCGAATGTGCTGACCAGTCGGCCAACGTGCTGCCCGCGCAAAAACATACACCTTGAATAACTCAACAGGAAGTGTGTGTCAGCATCAAGCTTGCAAGTTGCGGACACGACTTGGTGGAGATCAAAAGTGAAAAATGTTTCATAAAATAATTCAATACAAATAAGGATACAATTCAAAAAATGATATATTTTCTGTTTGGCTCTAGATGATGGCAGATGCTTTTTGCTCTACTGTTGCTGCCTCCTCCTTATCTCCCCGCTTGCTTGCTCACTTGGGTTCTGTGCTGTCGCTTTGTCGAAAACTGGCCTCCTGCTTATTTTTCTTCTGAAAAACAAATCATGGAATGACTCAGCCTGCGGACTGGTCCCAAGTCGATTGCGAAGGGTGTAGGGGGAAATGAAAAAAAAAAAAAAAGATTTGTGTGTCTGGATGCGTGTTATTAATATGATATATTTTTGTGTTAGTGCACACTGCACCCTAAGAATCCTATCAGTTTCATTTTGACAAAAAGTATAAAAATAAAATGTAATTAAAAAGCAGGTCATCTTTAACCTACGGTGGCGCATCATCTGTATCACCGGAAGTCGTTAGTGGTCAGCAGTCTGCAATTGTAGCTTGTGATCCGAGCTGTTGCGATATATCTTTTTAAATTATTTTTCTCATTCAAAGTTTTTTTCATGTACAATTCATTGATGGCACTGGCAAAAACTGGGAATATGGAGCGCCAGGAGAAGCATTTTAAAACAGTACACATATGTCCGATAATTTCTGCACTTAACATGCTGCAAAAGAGTCTACAAAGGTCGGTATTGATTTCCTTTTCACAAACTCACAAACTCTTGTATCTACTTTATTTTTCAGTTTCGTTCATGTTCGGGGCCAATTTGGCCGTTGCTCATCATGGCATGCGTCTGTCTTATCGTCTCAGTCGTTTCCACCTAACTTCCAGCTTCAACATGTGAAACATTAACCACAGTTGAGTTCGAATAAGCTTTCTAAAATAGAACTTGATATTACGTTCATGTTTTGACATACCTCAATTTCATTATGAAATTCCATGAGCTATCTCTTCAGATTAGGTACTGCATTTTCCGCACTACTAGGCGCACCTAAAACCATTCGATTTTCTCAAAAGCCGACTGTGCGCCCTATAATCCGATGCACCTTATATATGGAGTTACAGTCTCTTTATATTCCCCACTGAATTGTTTCCCTGTTAGTGTTGCTCTGCCATCTCGTGGTGATTATGAGTGGGAACCTATTGCAACCTAAAAGGGTTCTGCCCGACACTAATTGACATGTGCATTCGCCAACACACACTCCAACAGACAACTACTCTGTGAGCTCTGCACAGATAAGATAACACCAAAACCATAGTTAACTACTGATTAAACGAAGGAAGACAAGCCAGACTTCTAAAGATATTTAGCCACTCTGGATGTGAGCCCACGAGGTTTGTGTGCCTTTTAGTTGAATCAATTATATTCATAACTTTTGTCTTTCATTTATTGTTTTGTAGTTCCATTTGCATTTGTATGTGTTTGTGACTAGTTCTCATGGTTTTGTTGATTGTGAAGGCTCTATATAAGTAAAGCTGTATTTAATTATATTGTATTCCTTTAGCGTAGCACCATCTAGTGGATGCTCAGTGCAACCGCAGCAACGATTGTAGCTTCAATTCTATGTGCCTCTTAATGCAGTGCGCCCTATATATGAAAGTAGTTTTAAAATAGGCCATTAATTGAAGGTGCACCTTAAAATCCAAAGCGCCTTATAGTGCAGAAAATACGGTAATGTTTTTTTTTCCCGCGATTTTTGTGGCCGAATTTCTCTCCATGTCTTTCTGTAACACATTCCACTTTATTTTCTAGTCTATGAAAGGAAAGTGTCTCTAAATGTCATTTCTCCTTTTTCTTCCGAAGACGATGTCCATTGGATAGCCATCGGTCCCTCCGTGTTTAATTGTGCAAGCCAACCAGAGGCAATTGATCTAAGACTGCAAGGGAAGCTCAGCTTCCCCTAAAATGTCAAAAATAAGTGATCAAATATATGTGTGTACATTAGGGTGGTCCATTTTGGAAAAGTTTGTCGGATTCGTCGGGCCGGGTCGGAAATCTTGTCGATACTATGACACAAGGATGTGTGCAAAATTTTATTCCGATCGGATAATTTTATCCCGTCCCGCAGAGCGACCAAAGTTTCCCCTATGGAAAGAATGTTACGGGGCTGAATGGTAGTACGGTTTCTCCCGTACAGTAAGGATTTTGTTTTGCTCAGTTCGCACTTGCAATAATTCAAAGACGGAAGACAGGAACGCATGTATTGCAAAAAAGGCAACCGTGGTGATCCTGCAACACTGGTGAGATTGTTGGTCCATGTTAACTGGTCCATCTATCTATCTGTCCATCTGTCTATAATGGCCATCAACACTAGTGACACTGTTAGACCGCAAAAAAAAACGAAATCCGCCGTGCGTGCCATCCCATGCCTACTTCGCGCACGGGTGCAACGCCCGGTGTCGCTCCACGACCTGCAGAAGGTGCTGTCGCTGTTCCTCGTCGCGCGTAAAGGCGCCGCAGAATGTCGAAAAGCGTCCTCAGCTCAGCGTCCAGTAAGAATTCCGGCGATTCTCGACTTCAATTGAAAGATATTAGCTCGCCAGTAGGTGACCGTTGTGTGTTAGGCGTGCGTTTGAGTTTGTCTCCGGCTGCTGAGAGCAGCGATGGAATGGTTAGTTAGTCAGGAGGTGAT